GACACACAGCCAGCACCAATCTGCACCAATCTACCAATCATGATATAACCACACAACCAATCATTCCACTTACTGAAACAAAGCCAGCACTCCACATCCCCCGCCACCAAGATTTATAGAAAGACGGCAGCTCCGAGCATGCTTTAAGCCCAAAACCCAGCCTGCCTGAAGATGGTGAGTGAGACCTCACCGAAGCATTGCCAAGACAATCTCAATCTTAAATGGGAAATGACCCGAATACAACAAGACCAGCATATATAAATAAATAAATAAATAAATAAATAAATAAATGTGTGTGTGTGTGTGTGTGTATGTCTGTGTTGTGTTGTATTTGTGTGTGTGTATATGTACTTGTACATATATACATACATACACACACACACAACACACACACAAACGTTAAATGCTGATTCTATGCGGCATGCCAGTATCCATGATGTTATTAGAGAATAACCAGAGAATGGGTAGCGGAAATTTTGAGTAGTTCGAAGAACCGGTAAATACCACCTCTAACTGGCCCCGCCCCATCTATTTTCTGCCTCCCAAGCCCCAGCTGATTAGGAGGAAACGGGTATTTTGCAGTAATCTTCCCCAAGAATGGGGAGGGAATGGAGATTTTATAGTATCCTTCCCCTGTCATGCCCACCAAGTTACGCCACACCCACCAAGCCAGGCCATGCCCACCAAGTCATGCCCACAGAACTGGTAGTAAAAATTTTTGAATCCCACCACTGATACATACATCTTCTTTATTTAAGAAACTCCTATCTCATCCCCAGAATTGCAATTTCCAGTGACATTTTTAATTTTTAATTCTTCCTTTCCTATTCTCCATTTCACCACTGGGTTTTTTATTATGGTTTTCAATTTTCCCAAAAGATAAGGTTCCAGAGGAAATAGAACATGAATACATACAAATGTATCAGCACAAATACAATCTCATTATGGACCCATCTAATGACATGCCAGTTATATTGAAAGCACTGGCAGCTAGAATAGCAGTACATCCAGATTATTAAATATAACAAGTATTCTAACTCGTCTTTGACATCCGTCAAGTGATTATTTAAGAAAAATGCATTAGAGTGCTGTACAGTATGTTCCTTCAATTTATGCTATATTAGTTTGTTGCTGATGCTTATTTCAGTGAATGGATTCTCTTTTAATGGCTCATTTAGTTGTGTAAGTGCACTATCTCAAATGACATATAAAGAAAGGGCCAAATTGCCTTTCTAGTTACGGAGATAAAAAAAAAACTCCACTGGAATAAAAAGTATGATCGGTAGAGTTACTGTGAGTTATACTGACATAATGGAAATCAGGATCAGTCCTAAAGAGCTTAAGTATGTGTAGGAGTTGATAGCATCTTGTAGTATCAAATTGAGAAGTGCCAATTTCTTTTTTTAAAAATTTACTGAAAGGAGAGATGCAAGTGATTGGAGCAATTTTGTTTTGCATTTAAAGTGATGACACTATTCTACCGTGCCTTTTTGTTTTATAAATATTGGCATCAGAGAGAAGTTTGACTAAGCAGCAGAAACTTTGTACTCGTAAAAAAAAAGTACTGTATTTTGCAAAGTATAAGACATCCCCCCTAAAAGAGGGTGAAAATTTGGGTGCGGCTTATACCCTGAATGTAGCCCCACCCAACCGTCAGCCCCCACTCTTCGACCTCTACCTCCCAGCAATTTGCCCCTTGCAGCAAACAGCGCATTTCAGTTTCAGCACAGCCTAATTAGCACAAGCAGCTGATTGTCGGATCAGCTTCCTGACAATCAACTGTTTCAGGCTGCAGGAATTGCCATTGCCTATTGCCGCCTCCATGCACCCCATTTTTGGCCTTCGCATCCCATTTTTGCCTTCTGCATGCCCCATTTTTGGCCTCCAAGTGCTCCATTTTCCATCTATTCCGATGCCTGCCGTCCAAATTGGGCAGAAAACGGGGTGCACGGAGGCCGAAAGTGGGGCGTGTAGAGGCTGAAAATGGGACGTGCAGAGACGGCAATAGGCTATGGCAATCCTTGCAGCCTGAACAGCTGATGGTCGGGAGGCTGAACCAACTGACAATCAGCTGCTTGTGCTTATCAGGCTGTGCTGAAACTGAAGTGAAGCATATAGAAAAATGAAAAATTAATCTAGTCCCTAATTATTATATCAACAATTTCTGATGAAGCCATTTAGAACTTTGCTTACAGGATAACAGAAACATAACAACATGCAATAAAATCTCAATTCAATGTATCCCCATTCAGTTGACTTTAGAAGGAATTGAATTTTAGTCCATAAGTAGTTTCCAAGTAAGAAAGTCTGTTGCTTCCAAAGTTCTCTCCAAACTGCTGATGTAATTCGCCATATTGCTGATATGGCCATATAATATTCTGCAAATTTACCTCATTGATATAAATTTACATAATTACAATTACATTAACAATTATAACTATGTAAATACACTAATTGTATATATTTATGCAATAATATACAATTAATCTATGAAATCATGGTCCTATGATAAAACAGACAGTTTTTGACCAACTTGTTCGATATTGGCAACCCATCCCATAAAATTAAGGTGACCAGATGTCCTGCTTTTGGCGGGACAGTCCCGAGTTTTCACAATTTGTCCCGCATCCCACAGCGTTTTTAAAAAGTCGCGATTTTTGGAAAGAATGCACGACAAGTAGTAACTCAGTTTCACTCCAAAGATTTTGAGAAATCCACTGGTGACTTCTCACTATGCTAGCTGAGAGTTAAAGGCCACCTGAGCTGCTCCCTCCCATTGGCTGATTGCTTGGGGCCCCTCCCCTCCCCTTTTGCATCCCTATTGGCTGGCAGGCCTATCTGGCTCTTTTCCCACCCACCCCGCCCCCACGAAGCATCCCCACCGTTCGCTTAATTGCTGCTGTACGATCATGAAAGGGGTGTGGTGAATTCTCCTACGTCAAATCGGGTTTCCGCGCTTCCAAATGGAATTCATTCTCACCGTTCCCTCTTCAGAGAGTTAACAAAGGGTGAGAGCCCCCTGAATGGGTGGATGGGAGAAATTCTAAGTGCTTGCCATGGGTGAGTGGACGAAAGGGTGTCGGCGGTGCTGCCAGGACCCGCTGTGCGAGAGCGAGGGAAGAACAGGGTGGGGCCTGAGGGTAGCCGGAGGGAGGGGGCTCAGAGGGAGGGGGGAGCCAAGATGGTGGTGGCTGAGGAGCAGGAGGTCTCGTGGCTGCCGCTGACACTGCCACCGCCAAGGAATTGCAGGATGTAGCTGTGCGCTGGGAGGTCAGCCTGTGCGGCTGGAGGCTGCACGGTGACTGCGCGCTGCCGAGCACTAGCAGGAGTTGCGGGACGGGCTGGCCGCCCGATGGAGGCTGCCGGGCTGCTGGTGCTGCTGTGTCTCTGCTCCGCTGCCAAAGATGCCACCACCACCCCCTCGCCGGCTCTTCCCACCCGGACGCCCGCTGCCCAGAAGCCGCCCAAAGCCTTCCTGCCCACCACTGGCTGCACCATGGCCGACTCTCCCCGGACTCACCTGGGCACGCTGGGCTATGTGTTGGGCACCCCTTCGATCCCCCCCCCCGGGTCAATGGTGTCCTGCTTTACCAATTTTAAAATCTGGTCACTTTACCTAAAATGGCCATTGTTTCCAAGAAGAGGAAACTTAGCTTGAAACATATGAATTTAACTAAAAGAAACCACTAATGCAACATATGGAAGATACTTTGTGATAAAGTTACTTACATTTTATATATGTTAACTCTATCAACATGTTAAAATACTTTTTGTGCTTAACATTCATTGAAATAACTTACTGTTATGTCAGCAGATTCTTCACTATAATCTTCTTGTTTAGTGACATTTGAAAAGGAACGGAGAGCTCCTGTTAAGCGAGGAAGAGCCATTTATCATCCATTCAGTGGTCCATATGAAGGTACATTAAATTCATTTCCAATTTGTGAAGTTCTGAAAATGAACGATAAAATTAAAGTCTGGGTAATGGCTTAAAAACTAAGGGCAAAACAGAACCATTATCTGAATGACTCCAATACTACTATGCAGTAGGCTTTTGTGTAAGTAGACATCCAAACAACAATATTCTCTAATTTCAAAGCTTTACTACCACAAACAAACAGAAACAAAGTGGAAAGACCCCTCCCCTCCCATAATGAAGCAGTTTTCCCCCCCTCGCCACCATATGTAATTTAAATATTCAGCAGGACTTGAACATTTTCCCTTTTCGGACAACTTTAAATACACTGCATCTGATATTCTTCTATTTTAACAACTCTTGAACCTAATTGCTAGAACTGATTCTTGTATATTCCTTCATTACAATAGTTCTCAAATTTCATAATGCTAGTTTAAGAGGTTTTACTATAGCCTTTCCATCTTTCTGTAACCTCATTAATTCTATTAAATTTCTTCTCTGATTACTTTGGACTTGGCTGTCAATTGCCCTGCATGTTTTCTGACTTTCTTATAAATATCTCTAGTTGTTTTTTCTTTTTCCTATTATTTTCCTCTATTTGTTGAGATTTATGGCTGAGGTATCTTCCTTATTCATTATTGTTTGGTCATGAAACCCTGCATTCAATTGCTACTTTCTGTTGCTTGAGGTTTTCGCCAATCATCTTTCCTTGGTTGGGGTTGGATTGATAACATGGGCATTGCAGTTCTGTTTTCACTGTCTCTTCTCATAACTATCCTCATATTCTATGTCATATAACTTATGTGTTCTGAATATTTTCCTTATAGCTGGCTAATATTCAAATTGTGTGTTTTCTAGATCAAATCATGTTAGACCATTTGATCTAATAATTTATGCTTGGAATCACAATCTATAACTGAAAGAGTTATCTCTCACTGGAATATATTTTTATTTATTTATTTCCTGTTATGTAGTGTGGAATCTGAATGTGTTACCTGAAGCAAATATTGTCAATAATATTATTTATTAATATATTTACTTCTAATTAACACAAAAATCAGATATTCATTAAGAGAAGAAAGAAATGTTTTGTGCTTTATACTATACCAATATAGTTTTGATTATGCTTTACCGAACTGACATGTAAGAAAACATTATTAATCTTTGAATTATTATATAACATGTGTGGGGACATTGTCTAAGTCCAGACATATTTATAAGTTATTTAAAGCACCAGGTTTTTCAGAGGAAACTATTCCTATTGATAGCTCACTAACATTCACATTTCAGAAATATAATTAATGATATCACAGTCTCTAATTATTTCATCCCCCTCCTATAAAAAGAAACAGATAGGAAGAATAGCTTTTCATGTTCTGGTAGAGATATTTCCAAAGACTGACATCATAAAGTACTCATCCCGCAATGATTGGTACACCCCCCCCCCCTTTTAATGATCAATTTCAGGTAAAAACAAAATGTAAACTAAATGATGCAAATTTAGAAAACTAGATTAGGCAAAATGGAATTCAGGCTAAGGAGTGCATACTGTACCTCTCCTTTGATACAAAGATTTCACTTCTTCCTAGTTAGTTAGGAGTTAAGTTGTAATGTGTTATGGGAATTAATTTTAGTTTAACTGGAGTATGAATTCATTCCTGTTTAATGATATATGACTTGTTGTTTGAACCCAACCATGATTTATTCAATGAGCCATTATAAAAAAATTCATAGCTTAACATAGTATAATATGTGAGAAATACATTATATTTACATCTTACACTTTAGTGCCCTCAGATCTAATAGTTACTATCTTACTTGTTTTATGAAATTATTCTATAATGTTCAAAGCATAGCTAACTTTATCATATCCTTTTATCTACTGGATTATTTTTCCTGTTTTTATGTCTAAGTAGTAACAGAATAACAGAATTGGAAGGGACCTTCCTGCTTATGCAGGAAACCCTACACCACTTCAGACAAATGGTTATCCAATCTCTTCTTTAAAACTTCCAGTGTTGGAGCATTCACAACTTCTGAAGGCAATGCCAACCTAAACACCTCATTGAACAACAGCCTAACAAGACATAAATTATCTTAGTCTCTCCTCTTCTCTCAAGAAAATAATCTACCAAGTTAATGGGTGACAGAATTTTTCTCTAGCTTTCTTATTGCAGCATAAAGTCAGTCTTACAAATGATGACATATGGATGAAAACTGAAAATTGCCCCACTCAATTTAATATAATTTGCCCTGTAACTTTTCCAGTTTCTAAACAGCCCACAGCACTACTTATAGCCAACTGAGGATTGCAGAAGCCTTTGATATTGATGCAGAGAAATGTTCCTTTAAACCATCCATTAAAATATTTTAATAAAATGTGCTAGTTGGAAAATTGATTTTGGCTATGACAGATTAACACAGCTATCTTCCCAGCCGTGGATTGCTTATGTGAATAAGCAAGTGATCCTGTTTTAAAACCTTGTCTTTCTGATGCACCCAGGTATAAGGTCCACAGGAAGACTAAGACTATATTTTATTGAGATAAGTTGTAATAACAGAATCCTGCAAGCCTGATTTGTGTTTTACCACCCCTCCTCCCTCTTATATCCCAGTGACTCTGGGATTTACCTAAACCATTTCCATCTTGTCTGTCCATCCATCCATCCATCATCTAATCAATCTATCCATCCAAACATTTCTTTACTTTTATAATGAGCTTTGCCTATTTCCCTCAAGATCAGTTCCAGAGTTCTTATAACTCAGCAAATTCTCTTACTCCTATTAAACGGAGATGACAACCTGTAAAAGATCCTCAGCAATGGACATTGCTTTGGAAATAAGACTCATGGACCCCAGCAGGCCTTGCTTCCCTATCAGCTTAAGCCTGACCAGCACACATACGGTACGCAGCTGTGATTCTTCTAACCAAGAGCAAAGTCCTTTTCTCATCAGCAGAGCAAAGAACTTCCAAGAGGCAATTAGTGCCAAGTCAAATTTCTAACCAACTCTTTAGAAGTGCGGGCAGTTCAGGATTCCCCCCCCCTCCATAGTAAACGCCCCCCACCCGTGCCCACTCCTTAGAGATGAGGCTGCACGAGTTCAGGGAGGCTTAACATCCCAAACTCTAGCAGCAGGAGACGAGTAATGGAAACTCAAGATCACCCAAGGGAAAAACCAACAACTGGACCTTCTTTTCTCACTGGCAACGAGAACGATGCCCCTAATGGGAGGGTGCTAGCACTCGCAACACTTATTCGTGTGATAGGTAAAGCGTGTTCAGAGGCTCGAACCATCCCTCCTTTTGGTTCATATCACTCGTTAGAGAAGATCGGGAAGCAATGGAGACGGGCAGCGAATTAACCTGCTCCACTTACCTGCTCAGCTTTACTCTCCCTCCCACGACCGGCCACGCTGCCACTCCGGCTGCTCCTCCTCCCCCCCTCCCAAGGGCTGTACTTGCCTTCACACTATTTCGACTCAGCCGCTTCCGGGTTCCTCTCCAAGCGCAGGCGCGGCCCAGTCCTTCCGCTGCTTTTGCCGGCTGAGCCGAGCGGGCGGGGCTGCCGCCCTCACTGAGCGCTCGGCAGCCCAGGGACGCTCCCGGCGCGCGTGAACGTTGCTTGTGGTGGAGCGCGGCGCCCCGCCCCCTTGGAGAAGATGCGACTTTCTCTTTCGCTTCCTGGCTTGGGAAACGTGCACGTCATCATCGGCTGGATGAAGTCGCAGAGAGTGGCGGCTCGCTGGTTGACAGAAAGACTTCCGGTTTGCGTTGGAAGCGCCCCCACCCGCCTCTTCCCAGCCGTTCCTTGAGGGCTAAAACTAACTCTCCGCCTATAAATCCAGGAGAAGAGCAAAGAAAGCAAATTCAGCCAAACTTGGAGGGTTGAAGCAAACGGAAGCATTCAAAAACTTCATTTAGTGATATTTATTTATTTATTTATTTATTTATTTATTTATTTATTTATCTATCTATTTATTTATTATCAATCGTTTACAAAATAATACGTATAAGAATAAACATGAGTATGAATGAAATGAAATGGCTACAAATAAATGGGGACAGTAGGACTAGGATGGTAGGCACGATGGTGCACTTATGCACGCCGCTAACAATTCAAGGTTAAAGTTATGGGTTATTTGAAAATGTAAAAACAGAATCAGGTAGTGCGTTCCAAACATTGACCACTCTGTTGCTGAAGTTGTATTTTCTGTAATCAAGTTTGGTGCGGTTTACATTGAGTTTGTATCTGTTGTGTGCTGTTGTATTATTGCGTTCAATGTCTATGGAGATTCTCAGTCATCCAGGTTATGGTTATCCCAAGTGTTTTTTCAAGAGGTAATTGGACTTTCTAGTTTTTCTTTGAAGATAGTTTCGCTTCTCATCCAAGGAGCTTCAGAGCGGAAGAAGCTTCTTGGATGAGAAGGGAAATGTCTTCAAAGACAAACCAGAAAGTCCAGTTGTCTCCTCAGAAAGGTTCCCAGCAGTTCGTATTTGGTTTGTGCTTCCATGCTCCTTTCCCTGCTAATACGTAACACCGCTAACTTGAATCAAGATTTGGGTAGATCCGCTTCAGCTGATAAGTGACATTCCGAGATTGAACCTATTTATTGAATTGGCGACTCTCGATTGTCTTCGGGCGAAAAGACACTCAAAGCTTAAAAGGAGAAAGGAAGGCTGGGTTTTTCAGCTGGCTTGACAATCACTCCAAGAGTTGCTCTTGCTTTTTGTTTGACACATTTAAAACATTTGATTTGATTCATCTTAACTAATAAATTGTAAGGAATATAGTTTTTATTTTTAAACTATTAGTGTTCTAGATTGATCACACAGGTAACTGTTAGTATAGTAATAGAGGTATGAATGTTAAATTCTATTATTTATTCCGCTAGTTTTTATTTTTGGTCACCACACTATAAAAAAAGATGTCGAGACTGCAAAGAAGAGCAGCCAAGAGGATTAGGTGACACGAGTCTAAAACATGATGAACGGTTGCAGGATCTGGGCATAGCTAGTCTAGTGAAGAGAGGTACCAGGGGAGACATGATAGCAGTGTTCCAATATTTGAGGGGCTGTCGTAGAGAGGGGGGTGTCAAACTATTTTTCCAAAGCACCGAAAGTCAGACAAGGAATAATGGATGGAAACTGATCAGGGAGAGATTCAACATTGAAATAAGGAGAAATTTTCTGACAGAACAATCAACCAATGGAACAGTTTGCCTTCAGAAGTTGTGAGAGCTTCATCACTGGAAGCTTTCAAGAAGAGACTGGACTGCCATTTGTCAGAAATGGTGTAGGACGTGGTCCAGATCTGGTCTGCAGGGCCGCTCTGGAAACAGAAAGGAACTGACCTGCAGTGCCTCTGCCAGCAAATATTGTGGCCCTCCCAAGCTCTGTTTTCGCTGGCAGCGGGTTGCAGGAGGTCATTGCAGCTGAAAACAGCTCGGGAGCCTGTTTTCACTGGCAGAGTGCTCAGCCTACTATAGGCATCATCAACACGAGTGACATTGAGTTGGCCACGTTCCTTGGCCATGCCCCCCAGCCCCCTCTTGAGGTCAAGCACAACCATGATGTGCCCTCAATGAAATTGAATTTGACACCCCTGGTGTAGGGTCTTCTGCTGGGGCAGGTTTGAACTAGATTTACAATGTCCTTCCAACTCTGTTAATCCGTCTTATCTGTCTAGTATATTGTATTTATTTGCTTCATTCTGCTTTTCTTTTAAATTTGTGCTGGCCTTTGGCACAATAAATACCATTAATTGATTGATTATTTTGGCAGAGTTATGCCATGGGAAAGAGGAAGCTAAATGTAATGGGTCTGTTCATAAAAATGTTTCCACTCCAAATCTCCATTATTCTCCCAAAGCTACGCCAAAAAGTCTGATTATTTGGAAAAATAAATGAGACCAACATTCTCCAACTTTTTGCCATACTGATGAAGTAGAAATTACTTGGGATCTGTAAATGCTTCTCAAAGTGGAAATAACTAAATAATTGCCATAATTCTCAGAAATCCAGCAGAGTGTTAGGTACAAGACTTGGGATTTTGATGCCATCATAGACTGGTCACCAATGTCATCTGTAATATGGTTGGATTTATAATGTCAGCAAATAAGGCCACACCGTCAGTTCTCCTTTTTCTCACAGACACCGATTTTTCTAAGGCAGTGCATGCCTTGATCATCTGTGATTTATTTTATATGGGATTTGCTTTGAAGATAAGGCAGTGACTTGCTGGGGCTCTCAGAAGTGCCTGACACTTCAAGGTTTTATAATACCGGTAGTCCTTGAGATAGGACAGGTCACTTAATGTATGTTCAAAATTACAACAAATGCCTCAAAATTACACATGACCCTGTTTCAAAGTTGCGACAGTTGGACTTCTGCTGTGTTCATTGACCCTATGACTGACTACAGGGATACTGCAGCAACCTCCTTGTCTCTCTTACCCCATCTCTTCCTTTCAGAATGCTGTGATGTTTGGGTCAGCTTCCCACACACTTATCTCCCTCCACGTTTACCTTTTGAAGCTCTCTGGACCTTGTGTTGGGAAAGGAGGGTAGGTCATCTGTCCCTGGGCTGTGCAGCAGCAACCTGAACCATTTTGTGCTGATGCTTGTGGGAGGTGGGAGGCACATGACATGGTGATTTGCAAACTAACATAGTTGCTTCATATTTTAATTTGATTTATTTTAAATTTTGCTAACTTGGCTTTATATATAGTATCTTGTTCTGACCCCCCCCTCCCCCCTCAGTAACAAATGCCGAGACAAGCTTAACTGGAATTTCACAGCACCTTATTAGCAAAAAACCAAAACCTCGGTAGCTGAAAGCCAAGCATAACAACCAGATAAGAACCTTGGCAGCAACTCAGACTTCGAGACTTCGACAGATAACAGCTTCTCCAGCGTTAGGAATGACGTTGAATCCTGCAAAACCAGGCTCCTCCCAGT